CTGTTTTAGTAACATCCATTCCCAAAATAAGTTCTGATCCCAGCTCTGGCCTCATTTACACTGAAATAACATTGTGGTATCATAGTCGAGTCCTCTTTTTATTTGTTTTAGAGGTGGGGCAAACTCTTCCCTCATGTTTCTGGCCAAAAGAGGCATTTATTTGCTATTCCAAATGTTACATAATCATAAGCAATTGGTTATTGTGATCCAATTATATGTCCCAGCCTTCTGTCTACTGTGATGCAGAGCAGGCCGATGTTTATCTGATCCTACGTATTGGTCCCATGGTGGTTTCTTAGTTGCTTGCCGTATCAAAATACTCCAAAGGAGCAGGTTAAGCTCTAGATAGGAGCAACATTACACCTATTTGCATGTGTCTCAACTGCACATCCATAAAACTTTATTAGTTAGTTGCTTTTTTTGCAGATCTAACTGGTTTTTGGCAAAAGCTAAACTTCACAGTAAAAGCATACAAACTGTAAGTCTGCACAAAAGAAAATGCATGTATGCATGGAATGGCTGGCCACTTTATCCTGTGCACCATTTGCCAAAAAGTAGAAGATAATACATAATTCCACATTGGAGTGTGTTTGCAGTCATTTAAAACAAGCTCACAGCGTTGACATAAATCAGTGTATGTGTGAAGCTCATATACCTGCATGTCTGAAAACTGCCGGTTTGACGAGAGACAGATCTGAGGAGATTTCACCATAAAGGTTAGGAACCGTGAAATATCTGAGAAGTGCTGGAACCCTTCTCCTCTCCAAATTATAGCCGAATGCATGCTATACAGTCTTAGTGGTTGAGGGGAAACGCCTTGGCAGTGCATAAAGGGCTCAGTGTGCGGCTGAAATGACCGTGCGACTCCTGAAAATAAACAGAAATCAAATGGAGTGATTGATCGAATAAATTAACCTCAGCAACAGCATGCAGCACGCTCTCTCTCCCTCTCTCTCTCACACACACACACACACACACACACACACACACACAGCTACTCATCAGCTCCAATAACCAGACTTTTAGAAAAACAGACACTTGTTGCTGTTTGCTCCAGTGCTCAGGCCAGCTGCAATTTGGGTGTAAGTTTGTTCCACTAGTGTGATGATGGTGGTGAGTGGGCAGTGGGGTGTTGCTTAGGTAAGGCTTGTTTGCCAGTTGAGGCATTTTAATTTGTTCTCTTTACTCCAGAAAATGCTCTGATTGTAATTATGTGGAATGAAAATGGATCTTACCTGCCACTTTCAGATTGATATATCCATTTATATTTCTGTCCAATGTAGCCTTTTTATTATCTAAATGTTCCAGGTACAAATAAATTCATTTAATTAGAAGGGTTTCAGGGTTTGTTATATAGTCAGAATATTCTTTTCAGAAGCTTTTCCACCTTGAACAAGATTACTTTTTTTGTTAATATGTTTTTTTTTTGCCTTTTAAAGTAATAATTAATGAAAAAACAGAAGAAAATCTCATGAGTCTGTGGGCATCAAATCAGCAAATCTTGAATTAAGATGATTCAGTAATATGTTTATAGTTAATTCATACTAAGTTCATATTCAGTTTATAAAGGTTGCGAAACAATATATAAATGACTGTCTTATGCCTGATTTTCTTCATGCTTGAGTTTTTTCCCTGTGAAGATCATCAACTGAAGGTGATGCCTGACTCACCTTTTAACTGCCTGTGAAATCGCTGCGTTTTTCGCAGGCCTATATATTCTCGAGTGCGCCTGAAATGTGAACCGTCCAATCTGATGAACCTGCCGACCGGTCAGAGCCTTCTGGAAATGAAGACAAGACCCCCCCCCCCCCCACACACACACACACACACACACCTCAGCCCCGCCCCTACATCCCCGCCCCTCCCTGCAACTCGCCTGTGCGGTTTATTGAAATCTCCTTCTTGCTCTGTAGGATAGCCCTGGCCTCTGGGGTAACGAGATAGATGTAAACAACCAATTATTGGATAGGCCCTCATTCGCATACCCCTTAACCAGTATAGACACAGATGTTCTGGCTTTAATAATTTCTCTCTCTCTCTGCCCAACATTTGGTTGTCTGTCCGAAAGAATGTTACTCATCAACTCCTTGTTGCGCTGGTCTCAGGTCAGTGCGTGTCTTACAGGATAAAACCACGTCCTCATCTTATCCTATATAGGCCTACCCCCGCCCAAACACTAGGCTTCGCAGCACACACCAAAACACACATCTTGCAATAATCAGCTCAATTAGTGCAGGTCGTGGTGGAGAGCGGTCGGGGTGAGCGTTGGGAGGTTGTGAAAATAGGGGGTTGGCTATTAGGGGAAACGCGATCTCCATTCATCAGCGGCCGTAATAATTACCGTTTCAGAGCCGGAGTCCTCTGATCAAACTGATCTGTGGAAACAAGTGGTTTACAAACAGTGTCAAGGGCCAGACACGGGACCCCGATTTGCCCCGTCACTGCCGGTGCGCACGCCCGGCTCTGACCGTGAACAGCCCCAATGCAAGGAAAGATGCTTTGCATTTGGATCCACATTTATACGTTATTGCTCTACTCTTGCATTTGTTCTGATATCATCACTGCTGCAGTATCAACCCACTTCCACGATCATTTAACTTTCTTATCAGATGCATTCTAGTTTAATAAGTAGGCTATTTAAGCTTATCTTGGGGCTGTAAAGAGTGAGCAGGTGTTGATTGTTTTTTCAGAGCGATTATCTCAAACTTTTAAAGTCAAAGATGCCAAAAAAAGATCCCATGTTTAACAAGATTGTATTCCATCTGTGCTGATTTTATGGTTGCCAGTGATTATAAATAAAGCTGGATACTTGTCATAAATACACATATAACTAGGCTACCTGTTATCCACAGCCGTGCTCATACAGCGTATCATATCATCTTATCAGAATAGCATCTCATGAGACCCTTTACAGCCCCCATCTGGAGCTCCTCTGGGACCCTTATTTTGGTTACATCTGCGCCCATCATCCACCAAAATAATCTAAATGACTAAGGACAGAGTCAGTCAGGAATGCACTGGGCCTTCATGTAACCACCGCTGACAGCAGAGACACGCGGCAGCAGTCTACAGGGAGGCAACAGTTGCCAACAGTGAAAGCTGAAGTGAAGGACTTTACCGAAGATTTAATAAAAATATAGCCACACGTCTATATTTGAGTATTTCCAGTCCGTAAAGTCACTTTACACTCTGAATGCCCTTTGATATGAAACGTTAAAAAAAAAAAAAATTAGACGACACATAACCTGAGTGGAGAATAGTGTGACCACTGTGAGTGTAATTGCTGCACCTCTTTCACCAGTGGGAGAGCCTCCTGTGTACTTTGGGCTCACTTACGAGGCATTGAGGTTTGTGTGTGTTAGATGGACGGAGATGATAATGTTTTTTTTTAAATCTGAAATCGGTTTCAAAAATGAGCGCCTGTCAAACTGTGTTTACAGGTCATATGTTCACTCATCGGGCGAGATTTCTCCGGTTCTGATGAGCTGTCTGCATCAAAGTCAGCAAATTAAAACACAGCCATAAAATGATTTAATGGTAGATTAATTACAAGGTTATATTATATGATGTTGTAATTACATTATTATTATTATTATTATTATTATTATTATTATTATTATTATTATTATTATTATAATAATGTTTTATTTGTGGGAATAAAACTTCATTCTTAGTGGAGTTGTGTGATTTTCTCCTATGAGCTGTATATGTAGGCTATATAAGGGTAAATCGCTTCCTTGTTTTTCTCACTATCCATTTCAGGCGAGCCCCGGTCCCCTGACGATTACCATCAGTCAGCTTAATGCCGTAATACTCTCTGAACTGCGCTTCGGGCGAAACCCAAGTCAATTTATTAAACACAGACAGAACACAACACGGAAACAGGGATCAGGCTCTTCTTACAGGACTCCTCTTCTCTAGTGATAAACTAACTTCATAATTACACTAATAATTCCTTGTGAACCGCCACGACTTGGATGAAATAGCTCCATAGCCAATAGGCCTGTGCAGCGGGAAAATATAGATGAATTGGTCTTGAGCTTAAATAAAAGTGTGAACCTGTGATGTGATCAGCTAGTGGTTATATTTTATTTTTATACAGCTGAGATTTAATGTAGCTCCTTGCTGGGACTTTAGATACTGATATTTATTTGCAACTTCTTTTTTGAAAATATGCATTTGAGTTCTGCACATAGGCCTATATCAAATTACGCCTAATAAATACTGAGTAATTATTACTATTTTAATAGTAATAATAATTTGAAATATTAATTTTAAACATTTAATGTTTTGCACACTGACTTAACAAACCTCTGGACTCTATTGGAGCTTTTTGAGGGGTCTACAGGTAAGTTATGAGAAGAAAGCTGCAGAAACAGGACAAGTGTGTGTGCGCGTGTGTGTGTGTGTGTGTGAGAGAGAGAGAGAGAGAGAGAGAGAGAGAGAGAGAGAGAGAGAGAGAGAGAGAGAGAGAGAGTCAGTGTGTGTGGTTTGAGGCAACAGTGTCGAGTGATGTGATACTGAGAGTGGGTGTAACTGACAATCGTATCTCTAATGAAGAGGTCCCATGGTGAGGCGATAGAAATCTCCTAACTGGTCAATCTTTGGTCCAGCAGTCAATAGCACATCATGCCCGTTCGCGTGACACACGTCACACCATATCCAGCACAGACCACATGACTTTTAGTGCTCATCCTGCTGCTGCTGCAGTCTGGAGAGCTAAAGTCTTTAATCGGGAAAAAACTCATCATTTCAACAAGTTCCTCCTCAGTGAATCATAACCCCCCCTCACTTATTTTACTTCTAAAAATCCACTCTCTCACTGTTTCCTTACCCTCTCTCTTTTTGTATCTTAATTATCACACTGAAATGATTACTCAGTTCTTCAAATCTTATCTCCTAATCCTGCTTGTGATTTTGATGATCTCTGACTTCCTCCGTTGTTGCACTAAACCGTGTCAGCCAGATGTCTTGAATACAAACGGAAAGTTTTGTCTCACCGGTGTGCTGGTTGGTGTTGCCGTTTTTCTTCTCCGCTGTTGCCCGGCAAACTCTCTTCCTCTGCTCTCCGTCCAAGAAACTCTACGGAACACACACACACTTCATTTCACCGTTAGAGCGGCTGCACACCTTAACGTTGTTTGTCACTCTGTGCGCTTCTGCCGTCACTGCCTCACCCCTCATGCAGACACCCCTGGATTCATCATCATCTGTGTTATCACACGCATTAAATAATAAACTCTATCAGGACAATGTTATAATAAATTCTAGATTAACATATTCATTAAATACAATACGCCTTTAGGGATAGGCTGTAGAACTGCCATATTCATGTCAGATTACATTAAAAAATTACTTGAATTAGCTAAAGTTAATATAAACAAGTTAACAGACGCACTTTAAGCTCATTTGGGAATGTTATAGCGCACAGTCTTTATACGTGCAAAGTTATTTAATATTTTTGATACATTGATTTCTAAATCTGACTTTCTATACGTTTTCTAAAGTTTAAAGTCTTGTTTTTTCGTATTTTGTCATTATTTCTAACATATCATAACACTTTTATGGCTACATTTAGTGACATGCTGTCTGTTTGGAGGAACAGCTTGCACGAGGCTACCTGTAAAGCCACTTTATATACATTTCTGTTTACAAAATGGCTGTTTTAGAAATTTATGTGAAACAAATGTATCTAAATTTATTTGAAGTGAGGAAACATAAATCCCTTCACTCTGACAGAATTAATATAATTTATTTTTGTTTTTTATATGAATTGTTGCTTCATTTCAACCGTCAAGACCAGATGAGGCATTTTTGCTAAACTTTTCACCAAAGGCTACATGACCTGTCTGCTAGTTGACAGTAATTTCACTTGTACGAAATGATGAAGCGACTAACTTTAAAGTACCAGGCGTTGTGGAAACCTTGATTGATTTGTGAACGGCGCTTGAGGCATGAAGACATACTTCAGCAGGCTCTGTGCGCTCTGGCGCCATCCTTCCCCCAGCTGCGGGACCAGCGCTGCTCTCTTTCCCCACACGCCCTCAGCTCTGCGCTCTTTGGCTGCCTGAGGTGTCTGTCAAAGTGAAGAGAAAGAAAAAAAACTGCTTTACAAGAAAAATCTGAGCAATATTTCTGTTGGTAGGCGGGATCGTCGTAGGGGAACAATCGGGTTGACTTTGCCAGGGAGCCACCTCAAAGCGTATCAGGTTGCTTTGAGTGACAGCGTAACCATGGCAAATAATTTGACTAAGGCTATTGTCTTATCCTCACCATCCCCGGGTCAGATAACCGACCAATCAGAGTTCATATAATCGCCTGTCTTGCCAGCTTAGAATAATATTATTAAAACGAGCCAGCGAGCCCGGTCTCCGGGAGTAGGTTATGTTGAAACGGCATAGAAAAGGTGGAGGAGGACGGTGGAAGGAGTAGCAACTTTCTCTCTTTCTCACCAACTTTATGAGGATTTGTCGCCTGGGGTTTTGCATGGCTGAATGGACTTGAGTTTATTCCACAACACGCAGTTGGATATTACCTCACCTTGGGCTGTTTTAAGCTTTAAGTTGCTCTTTTTGGGACATTTTGTCGCTTATGGACTTAATGCGTTTTGATTTAATGTGAGACTGAGTGGAGAGACGTGGGAGTAAGGCACAATATAATCTGTATTGATTTACGTTGTCGCCATGTCCATGCTTCCGACGTTTGGTTTTACGCAGGAACAAGTGGCGTGTGTCTGCGAAGTCCTCCAACAAGGGGGGAACATCGAGCGGCTGGGGCGCTTCCTCTGGTCCCTCCCGGCGTGCGAACACCTCCACAAAAATGAGAGCGTCCTGAAAGCGAAAGCCGTGGTCGCCTTTCACCGGGGGAACTTCCGAGAACTCTACAAGATCCTAGAGAGCCACCAGTTTTCGCCGCACAACCACCCGAAGCTGCAGCAGTTGTGGCTGAAAGCGCACTACATCGAGGCGGAGAAGCTGAGAGGCCGCCCGCTCGGCGCAGTGGGGAAGTACCGCGTCCGGAGAAAGTTCCCCCTGCCCCGCTCCATCTGGGACGGAGAAGAGACAAGCTACTGCTTCAAGGAGAAGAGCAGGAGCGTTCTGCGGGAGTGGTACACCCACAATCCTTATCCATCCCCGCGGGAGAAAAGAGAGCTGGCCGAGGCCACGGGACTCACCACCACGCAGGTCAGCAACTGGTTCAAAAACCGACGGCAGCGAGACCGAGCAGCGGAGGCAAAGGAAAGGTAGGAGTAAAGTTAAAACACACATCAGAGTGGGTGAATCTTGTAGTATTTTTATGAATGTGATATCAAGCAGAAAATAGACAAAACAGGCACATGTTTCTTTGGTGCGTGTATGCAATATGATTTGCTGACCTACATCTGTAAATGTATTGCATGAACCAAATATGAATATATTTCCAGTTCTTAACAAATCCTCCAGTTCTGCCCACGCATCTGTGTGTATTTGTGGGAAATTACTTCAGAACCAGGCCCCATTTTCATGCTTTTGGGTTGAGTAAACTCACGTCCCGCACTGTTGTTTGTATGTTTGTGATAATTGTGCAGGCCGTGCGTAAAGGTTGAAAGAAAGTAAATTAAAGGCTTTTTTTGTCAGGTAAATTACAAGGGTATAACAGTTGCATTTAACCTACTTTTATGTTTTAATCACACTTATTATAACATCAAATTTAACTTTTAGATTAGGATCAGAGAAAGAAAAAAACTTTTTTTTAACCCTCTGGATACTGGCGTGAACACAGAGCAGATATAGAAGAAAACATCTCGGAACACGTTTAAAGGTTGTTTTGCGGTGTAATTGATGTGGCGCGCTGTGTAGCCTTTATATCAGCCCGGTTGACATTTCATTAGGAGTAGTTTGTACTTTTCAAAGTTTGTAAATTACACAGGCAGGCGTGCAGAGAGGTTTGGGAGACGTGTTGTAGTCAGGTGTTCGCTGGGTTGGTGTCTTCTTTCGCCCTCTGGCCACTAATTCGGGCTGAAAGCTACATGTAAATCATGTCTTCCCACTGAGAGAAGCCTTACTCACACACTGCAAGCACAGGACAATGCCATACGCAACAGCACATGTTTAGCAATAATTAGACCTGTCATTTACTCAAACGTGGCAAAGGCCGAGAGCTTGCCCACTTTGATAGGCGTCTTTATCCACAGGTCACCGCTTAAATTCATTTGCCATAAACACAGCTTAATGCGGGTTCAATAGTCAAATAGATTGTCTCCAGTCGGTGTTCACCACTACAGCCATTTAACTCTCTGCCTCATAGCGTCTAATTACGTCACTGACTTATTATTTGACTTATTATTTGTATCTAGGCACACGTGCGCTCCTGACTGATGTATTAATAAATCATTAGAGTGAACATTTTATAATTAATATATTAATTAGGCTTAATATGGCTATTAAATATACCGCAGCCTAATTAATATCCCAGTACACAGAGTAGCATGGTTAACACTATTTTTGCTTAGTGTGTGTGTGTGTGTTTGTGTGTGTGTGTGTGTGTGTGTGTGTGTCTAGGTGTGCTTCTTTTAAGAATGATGGTTTTTGTTGTTTCCACAACGTTAAAAATATGCACTTTAAAATATTTAATTTGCACATTTGCTCTTCTAGTTTCTATCCTGTGTAACCCCACAGGATAGGATATAAATAGATATTTTTGAATTACACATTTTTCCTGATACACTCATATGTTGCAGTTGTTTATCTGTTGTGTCTCTGACTCTGTTCGCAGAGAAAACAACGAGAACAGCAACAGTCACAACCCATTGACTTCTTCCATGAATGGAAATAAATCTCTATTGGGGAGCTCGGACGACGATAAAACACCCTCGGGGACACCGGATCACACGTCTCCAAGCCCGGCTCTGCTCCTCGGCACAAACACCGGTTTACAGTCCCTGCACGGCCTCGCGCCCCCACCAGGACCCAGCGCCATCCCGGTACCCAGCGGTGCAGACTCGGTGCACCATCACCACTCATTGCACCATGACACCATACTGAACCCTATGTCTTCTAATCTAGTGGACCTTGGCTCTTAAAAAAAAAGCGCCACAGAAGGGGGACAGAGCACACTTTTTTTTTTTTTTTTTGGAAAAGTAGGCTACAAGGTGGCGTGAGACAAGCTTCAAGCACTTGCGGCAAGGTGCAAACGCAGACAGACTGGAACACTGCGAGAACAGCCACCGTAACAAATCGTTTAGTCTCATATTCAACCTTTTAAGTCTTTTTTTAACAAGTGGCAAAAATCTAGCAGTGGGTGAAATACCTCCACTTATCCCCAAATTAAACTTCCGCTTGTTTCTGGGATTTTCTAGAAACAAGACAGAGCACTTAAGAAATGTTCTCACCCTATTGGCATATTTTTTTCTTTGATTCGCTTCAGGAAAATATAATTCCGAAGATCATGTGACTTGTTAAGACGGATCAGTTTTGCAGTGGTGGTGCAGACGCAAGGTGAGGCGGATAGGTCGTTTTAGGTAAAAAAAAAAAAAATTTAAAAAAATGAAAGAAAGAAAGAAAGAAAAACAAAAAAGTATTTTACCGGAATGTAATAACGTAACATGTTATATTGTTGAAAACAATAACAATAAAATGTCTTAATTCTTGTTACTATTACCGTTGTTATTTTAGGGGTTTAGATATATCAACAGACTCTGTAGGCACCGAGTCAAAGGTACCCCATCGCCTTTTTGTTTACATAGGGTTTTCCAAGAGAGCCATAAGCAGTTCATTTTTTTTGGGGGAGGGGGGTTGGGGTTGGGGGTGATGGGGTATGATATTCTCAAGTGTCTTATAAGAGCCGTGATAAAATGAAATATCTTAATCTCTTGATATCATTATTATTATTATTATTTGCATTTTCATTTGGAAAGAGACTGCATGTAAACTTTGCGATAAATGATGAAACATAAAACGATTCACCTATAGTTTCATATACCCTTTACAATAAAAGAAAAAGAAATACATGGATTAAAATCGAGGATTTCTTTGATTCTGAATGATTCTTCACTTTTTTGTTAAAAAACAGTCTGTTTATGTAGTTTGTCTCCTACGGGTCACCTCAAATATTCCCACACTACAGCTGCAGGTCTGTCTCGGTTTGTTTACTGGATAATGTGTGTCTATTTTTTTTAAATTATTTATTTGCACTTCTAATTGAGGATTTTGAACGTTTAGGTTTTAATCACATTACTGTAACTTTGCATCTAAACGGTCAGTAGGCTGTGTTAAATCTGGTTCAAATCCATGCTTCACTATTTCCTCTGGCCATTTGAATGTGCACTGAACCAGCAGTTCCTTAATAACGTTGGGGAAATGTATAATCAGACAGCATTACCTAAAATCAAGAGCTCTTAGCCTTTGACACGGAGGCCTGCTCTAAGAAAGGGGATATTGTTCTTTATGTGTGGGCAGTCTGCCGGCGTGCACGGGTCGATATCCCGGGATTAACTACCATCTAATCATAAATGCTGCAAGGGAAGTCGTTAAACAGGAAAACTATCTGTTTCTCCCAATTACTCACAAGTCATCCCCAAGCTTGTGTCCTTGGGTTTTGCAGTTAAAATGGAAATGCAAGAAGCGGGTCTAAAAAGTGTGGAAATATGCGAAAAGAGGAAAAATGCCGCTGTTATGCCCTCTTTAAATGCAGGTTATGATAAATTATAATTAGAAATTTCTTCTATTAAAAGGAGAGAAAGTTTTAAAATACAAAAGTTGAATTATTGCGTTTCTGATTTAAAATTTAAGGTCAAAGTTCACCCAAGTCATCGCGGCTGACGTTAAAATGACAAAAGCAAAGAGAGAAGAAAAAGAAAAATATCGACACTTAATCCAGTGCTTCATAAAAACAACACTAGTCAAGAGACTGTGGCATGTGGCCATTACAGGCAGAGCTGGGCGAAACTTATACGTGCTATTCCAACCGGGAACCTTGATGTTCAAGTGATGACACCTTATCTTTCCGCGCTCGGCCGAGGAGAACAAAAGTGCCGTAGTGTTTGGCGGAGAAAAAAACCAACACAGAACTGGAAACGGGCGTTGAAAGAAGACACTTTGTTTGAACAGCTTCAGCCTTGCAACCCCCCACAATACTTTCATTAGTAGCTTCAATACTTTCCCCTCTTAAAAAGGTGGTAGCAGAGAGTTTATTATAGCATTATTCATCTCACAGCTGGTCTGCGGTAGCCTGGCTATTACCGGATTGTTTGGGGGAAAATATGCATAATTATAAACCATAACCCACAATAATGTCAGCAACCAGCTCATAGGATGTTGATTGGCTGGTACTTGAAACAACAGCACATTATTGGCCCCGTTAATAAATTATCTCTGAGGCCCTGGCGGCTCTAATGGGAGTGTAAATATGAATAAGTGTAAAGAGTGTGTGAACTGTCTGTAAACGAGAAGGATCAGTCGCACCTTGTTGGGTACAACTTCTGGCGCATGAAGGTCAATTACACATGCAGCTGAAAGCCCACACTTTATAATTAACGAGGACTTCAGTGCATATGGGTCTACTCAAAACAAGCCTATAATAGCGGCTTGTGAGGAGACATAACACGGAATAGTTGGTCTCTCACCAAACCAACTCTGTAACCCCACAAAGAGTTGTGATTTTCGTCTTCTCGTACTTTCACTCTCTCTTGTTTCCCATAAGGCTTGAAATGTGAACTTGAACTGGCATTGCGAGCGCGCCATATGTGCCCGGGGAGGGGAGGGGAGGCTATTAAACGTTTTTTGGGCAGAAGATATTAGGAAAATCCGCCAGCATTGAAGAAAAGTCCTAACAAGGCGCACTGGTTAAACGCTGATTTGACTCTACCAAGTTGGCTTATGGGAACAATGGCAGCAGAGGAATCAGATAAACAGTCAGACAGGTGTGAACTAGTCCTGGTTTCTCGCACAAATTCGTCTGCAGGCTTTTTTAATCGCCTGTCAATTCACCACTGGCTGAGGATGTTACAGAGATTAAACGTCAAGTGTTCAACAACAATCTTGCAGAGAGTTAATGCCACTTTGCCCCAGGAAGAAAATCATGAAACAATCAGGGGAGAATGTTGAGTCCTGGCCTTGTAAAGATCACATCCATACACTTTTATAGGATATGAAGCAAATGCTTTGTAAGAGTGGCTCTGACCTGAGATCTGTTTTTGTTCCATGGCTGAAAGGCCCGGCTGAACAAATTAGTGTTATTATTGTCATCATAATTACATCACCGCCCAATCATTAGCCCAAAATGCATTTTACACACACGTTTTTTTCATGCTCTTTTACTAAATAATAGAGTTTTGATTGTTATTTAATCGCTTTAGGATTTTATATTAAACACAGACGCCATATTTATCCGCATGACTGCTGCAGATTGTTGAAGCTATAGCTGTTTATTGTGGAGACAGATTTGCTATTTTATTTGCAACTTATAACTAAATGACAATCATTTTTGCATCATTTCCAAAGCATAAAATGGCAACAAAAGACATTTGCGTAAATTGCGCATTAGGTCAGGAAGTTGGGTTTTGATTTTAAAGGTTCTCAGTTTACTTGTTGTGCTGAAATAGGCTAATTAAAAGTTCCCAGCAGTATTCTCTCTTTTCATCCCCGTATTTGGTACTAAGAGGTAGAAAAGAAAAGAAAAACAATAAGTAAATAAGGAGAGGCTAACAGTTCATTTTTATATAATATTTATGATTGTCTCAGGATCTTTCACAACAAAAAGTGCATGAAAATAAAAGACTGAGTATAAATTGGTATGCTCGGCTTTTTAAGGGGTGTTTCTTTAGAAATGTAAGATTATTTTTTAATGAACCTATTTTAGACTAAGAAACAGTTTCTGGACACTGCCGTCATTTAGGACTTTTACTGATTACTTTTCACTCACTGAGATTTAGTATAAATATATATATGGCGTCTGTGTTTAATCAGAAGCAGAACAACATTATCACGTGTTTATCGGCGGGGCTATCTGCTTCTGTTAACTGCATTAATGGACAAACTGCAGGGAAGATGGTAAAGCAGTTATTGTGAAAATTGTGGATGGTCATAATTGATCACAAAGCTCATACTAGATTACTGTTGAAAACCTTGAATCTCCAAACTGTAGTTTTAAAAAAGTAGTTTCAGGCCAATCACAATGCATTTTCTGGCATTATTCAAAATTATTTTAAGTACAGGGGAAAAATAGTCCCAGCTGTGTGGATGAATTTAATGCACAAAAATCCCAAAATGTTTTTCATCAATATATGAAGTATCAGATGCTCATTTTTTTGTTAAGTGATGTTAACACTCTCCAAACAATTGCCAGGTACAGTAATAATAGTTATAATGTGACACATTATTGGTCCCTGTGGGGAAATTCTCTTTTCACTTAGACCCCCTTCAGGGAGGTCAGAGGTCAAACTTTTATAGCAGCAGCCTCAGAGCTGGAAGGGATTCACTGTTTTGCTCAAGGAAACTTCAGCAGAACGAAGAGGCTTAAACTCAGGTCCAAAGGGTCATGGGCGGTTTGTCAAACCACTGAGCCCGTTTAAAGATGAATAATTTTACAGACAAAATTTGCAGCAATTGACAGAGCTCTGATTCCAGTCATTGTCCCAGTTAATAAAAAAAAAAAAGTGAGTGTCTCTGAGGATGATGGTACACAACAAATATTTCTGGAACAAACAATGACATTGAGTTAATAATTCATCCCGCTTGTTGCCTTTAGGAGTTGGTGGTTGTGCTAACAAGGAAGTAAAACAGATGGGAATTACATTACTGATATTGTGGAAACTGTTTGAGTCCGGCGACTATCTACTGGTTGCAAAATCACTGTCATTAAATGTTCACTTTACACTGCGGGATCCCACAGCAACTCAAAAAGGTGTTTATCACTTTATTTAAACCTATATATGTTTTAGTTTTAAATGAAGGCCTGTGCTTTTACAGAAAAAAAAATAAAAGTTGAATGTGCAGTCAGCCTGAATTATGTGGAATATGTGTCTATATATAGCAGACAACACTATTATTATATTATTCACTTTTACTGAACTGTGCATCTAACCTCAGTTAACGAGACAGACAAACTCTTCCCTGTCTTCGGGTTGTTATGGCAGACTGTTCATCCCCAAAGATAAAACTGTCCTGTGGAATGTGAATGACATACTAATCCTAAAATTCCTCTTTGATAATCTAAAAACCATGACTGGATCATTTAAGAGCTGCAATGGCATTAAGAGGAGCAGAAGCTGCACAGTAAACATCTTCCTCTAAAAGGTAAAATACCAAAATAAGTTGTGATATTTTAGTACCAAATATAATGCATGTGCAATATCTCTAACAGAAATTCGTATACTGTCATAAAATGTGGATTACTTATCTCTTGAAAATTATTTTAAATAGCTTCACTGTGATTCTTGTATGAAATAAACCCTTTGTTTATGGTAGAAAAAGCCTGCTGAGCTGAGGGAGTTTTGGGCTGCTCCTAAATATGACATGTATTCACATAGAAATGAAAGTGGTCCAGAGACAGTCTGATGGTTGTTACAGTAATGCTGACAGGCAGTACAGGGCCAGTGTTTTCACATAGATCAAGAGTTGAAATCATGCATATTTCCAGGCCAAGAACTATGAGG